GTTCACCCAATCAGATTATTTTGCTTAATCAAAATAAATACACTGTTAGTAAAGACTTCTGTTATTAAATTTTAAAAACCAAAAAGGCTTATTTATTTAATGAAGGTCCCTACAATGGGCAACTGACATCATACATTTGGATACAATGTTGTTGTTCACCACTAATTTTTTATTTCATATTAGATGTATTAATATCATTTTTTCAGTGGATAGTCATTTTTATTATCAGAATTATATACATTAATGTATTTTCCAGAGAAAGTCTTGTTTACATGAACCTTTCCTTTAAGCATACAGACTTGAAGAATAAAGTAATTGAAATCTACTGTTAATAATGTATGTAGGCCTATATATTGAAAATTTATTAAAATTTAAATCACAAAAGATGGTAATAGTTTATGGGGTAATGACTGACGTTAATTCATAAATTTTGAATTTAGTTCAATGATCTAAGTAGGATATTTTAGAAATTGTTTATTTTGATTATTAAGTCTGTAAATGAGTCAGACAGGTTTCTTGATACGGTATATAGAAGGCTCTAATATTAAAGGTTGTTGTTGAAACCAGGTTTTGATTTGAATGTGAAGTATTGGACAGTTATTCCTTTCTAATTGTGTTAATGTGCGATTAGACTTCATAAAATTAGCTGGCTTGTAAAGTTTCTGAAATCCATATCCAAGCCATTGTTCTCATGGAATCTGTGCCTTCTCAGGACAGGTTGGAAAACTAATGTCAGCCCTTGTATACATTGGCATGCACTTATAAGAACCTTTGACAGTTAGAAAGTCAAAGAAATTAAGGTGGAAACTCGGCTGTTGGGAATAAAATTCTGCTCCCTCATTTCTCTTTCTCATGATATTACTTGCAGTTTCATTTCTCTTTCTCATGATATTACTTGCAGTTTCTGGGGGAAATATATAATTTAAGAGCAACAAATTTGTAAGTTTTTAAATTGTAAAAAAAAACACCACTCGTTTAAGAATATTTATCAAGATGCTTACTCTTTCTAGAACATCTGATACCACTCCACAATTTGGATTGTACTTTTGTATTCAGAGTTTTTGATCTGATTTGAATTAAATATAGAGAGAGGATTGAAGTTCAAAATTTGTGAAATTTCTTTAAATGGAAATTGCGACAGTTATAGTGAAATAAAGTATTAACTGTGATTATTGAAAGAAAGACTGCCGTAGAGATGAATGAAATAAATTTTAAATGTAATTTATCACCTGTGGAAGAACGGAATATTTACTGGCAGGTTTTTGGGTAAGATTAAAAGTTATGAAATAAACACTGATGGGGATATTATTTGACATTGGCGGCTTGGGAGACTGAGTGCTCTTCAGAATATAGGGCTTTCATTGATTCACGTGTCGTAGTTTTGATGCCACTCTGAACCAAAATAATTTTGCTATTTCATCTTACTGTTTGTAAGTTTGTCTTCTGGTTTTCTGTTTGGTTGTGGTACAGTTCTCGACACTTTGAGTGTAAGTATGTTAGTACACTATGTCTATCCTGCATAATACGTGGCCAACTGACAAATCGATATCAATTGTAAAGCAATAAGGGCATGATACTGTTATATTTAAGCCTTTAAATGTTATATATCTTTCTTATTGATTCATTAATCTATGATCTCGAAACATACCATACTTATTGATTCAATAATCTATGTTCTTGAAACTTGAAACATGTATTTATGTTTGGGTACAGGTAAATAATATGTAATAAACGGTAAGTATCTAAAATGTGCAATTGAAATGAACTCATTTATCTGATGTGCTATTATGAAGAGGGGGTGTCTAGTTGGATTATTTATTTGTCAATATTTCAGTCACATTTTCTCTTCAAATAACACAAACTTTAATAATTAATATGATTGAGTGTGCCATATGAAAAATTCTACATTTTATTGAGCATGGATTTCAAACATATATACTATTCAAAAAAAGAAATGCATAGTGAAGTGAAATTTTATCGTTCAAACATATATACTATTCAAAAAAAGAAATGCATAGTGAAGTGAAATTTTATCGTTGATGTACCCTCCCTCTACCATTGCTTCGTTGCAACAGGAACCCCGATTCGTAGCCAAACCAAACTGTCCTCCCGCTTAACTGTGGCCATACCCTGTGTGTCTGAGCCGATTGAAGTTCGATTTGATGCTGTCAGCGTGTCCAAACAACGACTCTAAAGGGACGGAACGCCTGGCTCATTATCCGGCTTCACTTAGGCAGTTATGGATCCTACACCGTCCAGGAATTGCTGCTGCAGTAGAGGTCGCTATTGTGAACAGTTCTTGACAATGACGTAACCGGATGTAGTGATCCTGGGCAGGTGTAGTCACACTTGGCATGAACGTGGGTGGTCACGTGTTGAACCTCACTGTCGGTACCTATCCCAAAGGCGAGAGATGGTACCCTGGTAATCATTCAGCAGCCTGGATACATCTGTCTGGGCTTCACATGCTTGTAACCGACCGATAGCGTTGTTGAGTTGTCTTCATTCATACGTGGCATCACTTGGCTTGTTGAGTGTCTACATGTGTAACTGATTTTGAAAGCGAGAACCCCTGGACTTTCTTAAGGCCTTAGATTTGGATTTCATGCAAAAAGCATGCGAATTTGATAAACTCATGTGCAAATCAAGGGAAAACAAATTCCAGCAAAAGGTATGACTAGTCACAATTATTGACAATACATTTAAAACCAATAATGAATTTATTTTATCTTTACATAATGACATTAAAAACAAGTAAGATTCATGGAAAAAAAAATGATTCCGTTCAAATAAAAAAATGATGAAAAATTGGCTATGCGTTTCTTTTTTTAAAGAGTATATAATAGGAAATTGAAAAAAAAAATGTATGTATGACTTTAATCTGGGTGTAGTGCTTGGACGCCATCATCACAGCCTTACAGTGAAGCTCTCATTTATAATATGGGTTTCGCATGTTACAATGAAGCTCTTATATATGATTTTAATATATTCTGTGAATTTCAACACATAGTGAAGTCCTTGTGAGTAAAATGTAATTGTCTCATGTGGGTATATTCAGTGTTGTTGTGAAGTTCTAATATAAAATATATAAAGGTAAATGATTGACTGAACATCTGCAGAATTATAATACTATAAGAATTGTGATATATAATAAGAAATGCCATTACTGGTGTATAAGAATTTGGAAACCTATATGTTTGTCAGCGTCATTGTTTGTAAATGTTTTATCCGTTTATCTGTCTGTGTATACATTGCATCCATTCTTGTTTTGAACATATATATAATTTTCACCAATCTGTTTCATCTTTTAATCACACATGTAATTATAATGTCATTATTGGTGATATCACTTCAATGGAAAGTGGACATAAAATAAAACCATTTCACACATATAAGAATTGTCCGGATAGCAAACAAGACATACTTGAAAAAGAATATTAACCCTATAAGCAAAAGAGTCTGAAATGTGCTTTTGTGTTTTGTTTTTTCACTGTTGAGAAATTGAGTCTGTGAACCTTTAAATTCCTTTCTCATCTGAATATTGATTAAATAATCTAGCTGTGTGTACTGTGGTGTTTGAATCTATAGGTAAATAATGCCAAGCTATAATGACACATATTTTACTTTCTATATAACCAGTGATTCACGTTATATTGATACCAGATAAATTAAACAATAATGACGCTCTTTCAACATTGTCATTACTTCGATCATCCATTGGTCTCAGACGTTTTGTGATTATATTTTAAAAAGTAAGTTTTACTTGAGGTTTATTGGAGCTAATACATGAGGGTGATGATATTTAGAGTATTTTAAACAGTTTTACTTAATATCCACTTATATGGAAGTAACTCTATGACAAGCCCTCATGCGATGTTTAAAACATTGATCTCATCACTTAACAATATTTGATCATAAGCTTTTAATTATAAATGAATGTTTCTAACCCTTTAACCTCTATTTTTATATGCCCACACTTAAATGTGATCATATATTGCTGTCACCACTGTCCGTCTATTTTCTTTCTATTCCTTGTGGATGTTCCACAGACTAAAGTTCTTAATAGTATCTGTGACTGACTTATGGGGGTCATGGTGGCTAAGTAGGTAAGATGCCTGAAGGTCAAGTGTTTGATCCCTGCATTGGCCGAGAAAGTTCATCCCGGTTTTCCGGCGTGATTCCTCCTTGTCATTGATGCAGGACGGAGGGCCTTACATGGACAGCTGTCTAGTCGTTCGGATGGGACGAAAAACTGAGGTCCCGTGTACAAATTAGCATGCACCTAAAAGATCTCTTGACAGTTGGAATTCGATATAAGATTAGGCTGTAGTGCCACTGTCCGGGCAAAATTTCCCTCATAGTGTCATAGCACACTGTATGGCGTATGCCTGTCTTCATTAGCCCTGTTCAGAGCAGAACAGTAGGACCGACCTGATTTTCAGTGATTTCCTATAATTTCTTTTGCTATAGTTAGATGTAGTAACCAATCAAATTAAAAATTTATTTATTATTTCTGATATTATACACACCATTTACTGTTATCAAATCTACTTTTTATCAGCCAAATACAGCCATGAATTCTGTTTCTGCTAGACAATGGTATTCATGATGGTTATAACCCCAAAATCACTCAGAATCATTCTTATTTGCTTTCCGTCACAATACAAAACCTTGTATATCATTTAATTTCCTAGGATGGAATTCTGAGAAAAACCTTCATGATTTTTCAAGCATGGTTTTCACTTATCAGGAAAGAGTACCCAGTTGAAATATGAAGCCAAGATGAGTATGCATTGGCACATACACGTAGAAAAAACTTGGACATTGGAAATTGAAGAAGAGTATGCAGAAAAGTCACCATTTGGACACAATTCTTGTACCTCGCATTGCACATTTAACCATAGAAATTAAAATTATATCTCTCAAAATGATATTCCATTAATGTGATCTTTAACCTATTCGTAGGAATAACTTTACTAGATTTTTTGATTTTTTTACAGGAAGAAATCTGACAGTAGTAAAATTCCGTCTTTGAAACCGTTTCGTAATAAAGCAGCAAAAAGCCCTAATTTACCAAAAAAACCAACATCATCTTTGGATAATGTTAAAATACGAACTGGATCTGGAACATTGCATCCACCAGATGACGGACCCCAGTCGGCATACAGCACAGAAGATTTAGATACTGTATGCTCACATTGTTCTGATTCAAAGGTATGTTGGCTTTTAGTTTAGAACATTACCCCATCACATAGTTCAATCATTAATTTTATGCCCGCTTCCATTTTCAGGTGATATCGTTCACCTTCAGGTGATATTGCAGACAAAGTCTTTTTTTAAATGATATAGTTTTTGCTTTTTATACGCCCACATTGAAATGTGGTCGTATATTGTCGTCGCCCCTGTCCGATTGACTTTAAATTTATTTACAGTGTTTAAGACCATGAGATGAAGAAGCCTATTGACTTTCAGCAATTTCCGATAATTACTGCCATAGTTATGGCCCTTGGTCACTTCAAAAAATCTTGTGGACGCTCTTGAGGCTAAATTTAATATCTGATTGACTTTAAATTTATACACAGTGTTTAAGGTCATAAGACGAAGAAGCCTATTGATTTTCAGCGATTTCCAATAATTACTGCCAGCGTTATGGCCCTTGATCACTTCAAAAAATCTTGTGGACGCTCTAGAGGCTAAAGTTATCATCCGATTGACTTCAGATTGATACACAGAGTTTAAGATCTTGAGACGAACAAGTATATTGATTTTCAATGAATTTTTATACGCCCACATTGAAATGTGGTCGTATATTGTCGTCGCCCCCGTCCGTCCGTCCGTCTGTCCGGCGTCCACAATTGCTTGTGGACGCTCTAGAGGCTAAAGTTAATATCTGATTGACTTTAAATTTATATACAGTGTTTAAGGCCATGAGACGAAGAAGCCTATTGATTTTCAGCGATTTCCGATAATTACTGCCAGAGTTATGGCCCTTGATCACTTCAAAAAATCTTGTGGACGCTCTAGAGGCCAAAGTTAATATCCGATTGACTTTAAATTTATACACAGTGTTTAAGGTCATGAGACGAAGAAGCCTATTGATTTTCAGCGATTTCTGATAATTACTGCCAGAGTTATGGCCCTTGATCACTTCAAAAAATCTTGTGGATGCTCTAGAGGCGAAAGTTAATAACCGATTGACTTTAAATTTATACACAGTGTTTAAGGACATGAGACGAATAAGCCTATTGATTTTCAGCGATTTATAAAAACCAAACAAATTCTAATGGTTTCTGATAATTACTTCATGAGTTGTTACTCTTAATCAGATTTTAGTGTATTATAAATGTTTCATTACCGAAAAAAGTAAAAATATGCGACAACACTTTTTGACTGCCCGGACGATTTAGCTGCTGTGGGCGTATGTGCTGTTGCCTGGCAACCTATCTTTCTTTCTAACTTTAATTGTGCGGCTTGGGTTTGAAGGAGTACTCATAGCTCGAGTTCTTTATTTAGGGATTCAGATTCAGAGAGTAGTTGGCAATGCCTTAAAGGCGGTGATGATACCCATTTCTCCTTTTCTTTGACTGTGTTGTGACTAGGGGGTAACTTGTTGAGATTGGTTTGACTGAAGAGGAATGTTTCTTACTTGTTTCTGATTGCTTAACTGTTTGTAAATGGGCCACAGGGGCACAGGTTTGATTTCTATTTGGACTGATGTGGGAACTGGAGTTCCCTATTCTGGGCCTCAAAGGGGACATACTTTTCTGGAGTAGCCCGTTAACCTCATCGCATCTAAAATAGAGTAACGGTTGGCCTTTGATGGTTACTTTAACTTTCGCATCAACCCCATGACACAGTTTTCACGAACACTATAATGGGTTTAAATATGTGACAATTTGACCTATTTTCTTTTCTGAAAATCACAAATCAACGTAACTCATGTATTACATAACTCATTTAAGGAATTTCCTACTTAAATTATACAATTATAATTGTGACGCTCACTTATGCAGACATGGTTAGCCAGGCACTTGCACAGTGTGGAATTTAGGGATTTTTGGCCAACACTGAAAGTATTGCGCAGTTGCGCAGGACTAGGATAAATGATTGCAAAAGATTTTTACCCTGGATTAACCAGGTTTAATTACTAAAATATATAATGGTTACATAAAATGTCAATTTTGCTATTTATTTATGCTATTTGAATATCTGATACAGTTCACATGATCGATTTCTGTACGGTACTGTCATTGGTGCATTTTCAGATTACTAATAATTGTAAATATTCTGAGACAGCATATTTTGTTTATATTTCAATATTACATTATTAGTTGATTATTATTAAATATTTTCTAGGAGACATACCACTGATCAAATTGCATTAGATTTAATAATGAAGTACGGGGCCGAAAATAAAAGTGTTCATGGTGAGATGTGACTGCCATGGAATGCATGTGTGCTTTGTTGTTCAATTTTAAATCAAAAAAGAATTTTGTGGCCCTGTTAGACATTTTAGAAATACAGTACTTTAAAACAAAAAATATTGTTTAATGACATAATCATGCTTGAATGAACTTACCTTTAAATTATTTAAAGCTGAGGGATAGCTAAAATATTTGATCTCAGGTTATGAGAAAATAGCTTCATAATAGTTTATTATATGTAATGGTGTCATTTCTCAGGTTTTAATGCCAGCTTCCACCCAGGTTGTAAAATGCTGTATAGAGGTACTAAACCTCGGATGTAAATGAAAATAAAGTATTGAATTGGGTTTATGAGATCCTGTAAATTTTCCATGATGAGGAAAACTCTTATGATTGGAAGTTTGTTTGGAAAGTGCAAGTCAATTTGTTTATTGATATTAGTTTATTTTAGAAGCATTTGTTGATCTATAATGGACATACAATTTGTCATCCCACAAAACAAGTCAACACACAATCCAATGAAATCAACACTAAGTTTTGATTCGGATTGATCAAAGACTGCTAATTTGGACTATTTCACATAACTGGCAGACATTTTGTAGCCTCGGGTGGTTTGGGTGTAAACCATGACTAGGTTGATCTGGAATAAGTGTTAGTTATGTTTATTAGTACAATTAACTTACTGAAGCAGTAAATGTCATAAACGTGGAAGTATTTGGGTGCAAACAAAGGTGCAAATTTTCAACTTCTACAAGATTATAAAGTGTAACGTACTCTAAATGAACTCTATAAGGTGTCAAAGGAATATTGAAGTAAGATTGTGGAATTATAAAATGTTTTGGAAAGTTTTATTTTCAAATGGATGGATTCAAGAGCAACAAAATCTGTAGAACTTATAGTTATATATAATTAACGAAAATATACAGACCTGTTTAAATATTACTTTCAAGTCAGATTTGAACAATATTTTTGAACAAATAATTTTGTTTTTTTAAATGAAGAGAAAGAAATAGGGCTCAACATCCACAGTGGTCAGGTCATGTAGGTTGCACATTTAGAGTAGAGTCTTGAAAACTAGAAGTGGGCCCTATTCCTTATCATACAGACATCCCTCCCCCATAGACATGTTAAGTAATATCATTTATTTTAGTTTTTCACTAAAGCATTCTGAGGGGTTGGATGGCCGGATGGTTAGCGTGTGCACGTTGTATCATAAGGTCTGTCATTGAGTAAACTGACGTAGTTTTGATTCCCTGGTTGTATGTGACAAGGAGTAGGGTCGCCTGTCTATCCTCGTGGGTTTTCTCCGGTGATCTGGTTTCCTCCCACTGCAAAAGACCCCTACGCGCAAGCGAATTATTGAAATAAAACTGAACCATATGTTAGTCCCGAAATGACCTAGTTTGTATCTGGACATTAAAAATAAACTTTCTTAGGATCATGGTAGCTTCTCCAGATTTAACTCACAATTTTTCTTCTAATGTCACTCAGAATAAGGTGTTACAATCTACCTCAACTACCTATTTCAATTGTGCAATTGATTTGTTTTGAGTTTGTTTATTAAAACCTGCAATGCTAAAATGTTTTGAAGTGTACAGTTTGTATGTTAACACTGATGCTCAGGAATAATATTATTTTGTTGGGAACCGCAACAAATCTCAATAGATGATGGAAATTAAGGAAATTTCAGATTGGTGATATAGAAAGTCAAACTATAAAAATCAAATGAAATAATATTAGTTTCACAATGTTGACAATGGCTCAAGAAAGGTAACAGCATCTGATCAATGTTGTTTTTGGTTATTCTGGTTCATGTGTCATGTTACTATAAATACTGATATGTTAATTCATACATCAAGACGACATAAAGGACTTGTACAAAATAAATGGATGACAGAATGATCAATCAATTTTTTTTATGATCTTTCTAGTTACCAAAGCCAACAAGTCAAGGAGTAAAAGTTGTCCTACTTGTTTAAGACTACTGTTTATTTTGAATAATCTACCCACAAACGGACAGACTAATGCTTGTTTATATAGCCTACCCTCAATGATAAAAAGCCTCTACATGCCAGAATAAAGCTTTGAAATAGTGTTTATGATCAAAAATATTTGATTAAAAACATTTTGTTCAGAAATGTTTAAAATTAAACAATTCTAACCTAATATACATTGGTTTTTAGTGATTTCCAACTACCCTCGATCATCATAATGATAATAAACAAAATCTTGATTATCCATTTTTATACGCCCATTATTATTACAATATTCAGAGGAGTTAAGAGTAAATACTTAGGAGTTTAGGGTCAAAATTTATGTGAGGAGTTGTGGAAGACTTTAATGCATGTTCAATGTTCATTAATGAAAATTGTAAGTGTTCTGATTTTAAACCCAGGCTTGAAGATTTTCAAGTAGTTCCTGACGGAACAATGCAATGTACTAATAATAGGCATATACATTGAAATATGGTATTGTCATCACTCACGTCTGTTTTTGCTTGTCGATATTCAATTGTCATCCGATTAACTTGTTAACTGGTACATGTTTTGTATAATAGATATGAACATGAGGAATAACAAGAAAGTAGTAGTATAGAATTTTAATTGTTTATGATAATTACTTTGATGGGTTGTTCTGAATTATCATCAAGCTTGCAAGATTATCAAAATTACCGTTATATATACTGATTATACGGATCATGGACCATGTGGCTGATTCTCACCAGTTGAAGTATTACTGGGTTGGATTAAAGCTGACAAGTTGATTGACTTCTTATAATTCATCAACAAG